CAACAAATAGTTGACATAATGTACCAAACTAATAGCTTCTGTAAGGAAAACTAAATGGACACATTTTCTTGAATGCTGGGCACCCCTGGCTGAAGAGCCAGTGCTGTTAGAGATGCAGTTGAATCAATAATACTTTTTCATTCATTTCTTTTTCATTTCATAAAAATGTCTGTTGTAATCAGCAATGAGGGAAAAAGATATTATTGAGGACAATTTTTCCTGCTTACGTGGACTTTATATTTTGGGACACATTGTTCTTCTGAATAGCCCTGTTTCTGTTTTCTTTCTTTCTTTCTTTCTTTTTGTTTTCCTTCTTAGAAATGTATTCAATTCTCTTCCAGCAGTGTGAATTCATCTGGAAATCTATGACAATCAATTAAGTAAATGAGAAAATAGAATGCTTGTAATTATGATAATCAAGCTATATGAAACCCACCCTTTTAGTTCTAATACCCACACATCTTTAAGCAATATATTAATTAAGCTGTGGATAATTGTTACAATTAAAATCGAGCTTTTATAATTTTTAAAAATCGTTCTGAGAGAGAAAAAGGAAATATTTAAAAAATATATGCAGCTGTCGGTTTTTAATGCAAGTCATTATCTTGACGGCATTGCTATTTCCCTGGCTACAGGAAGAGACAATTCCGTCTTTATGCTTTACAGATGTGATTCCTCGTTCATCCCTGGAAGAATTTTGCATGCAGCACCTTCTTCGGAGTTTCCTGTTTCTCTAGGTGAGAGGTTTTTGGCAAACTTTTCCTGTTAAGGACCATATAATAAATATCTTAAGGTCAAGAAGCAACATCGAAGATAAATGATTTCCATGGTTGCCATATTGATGGAATTCAAAATAGAATAATAGAGTACAATATCTTTTTGTAAGACACATCTAAGAGGAGGAACGGCATTTTTACCACTGGACAGCATTTCACTTAGTTAGGGCTCAATGTCATTGTTGAAGTTCACTGGGAAACGACACCGAGCTGTGGGCAGCAGGACGGATGTGCTTCACGGACTGTATTTAGCCAGTCTCCGCTCTGGATCAGCATCTCAACTTCAGCAGGCATCAGAATCACCTAGAGGGCTTGTTAAAATAGCTGCAGGGCCACAGTCTCCAGTTTCTGCTGGAGCTCAATGCATCTGCATTTCCAGAACGTCGCCAGACGACTTTGATGTTCCTGATCTGGGGACCATATCTTAGCCTATGACTCTTGATGTTGGTCCTTTGAAAAAGTTACATGGGATACACATGTGCATTTTGTTTTTATTATTTATTCATAGTTAGGCTCACCTGATAGACTTTACCTTTTTGAACTCCAAGGCATAGCAGGAATAAATCCAAAGTTAAACTTTACCTTAAAAAGTGAGGACCCTCAAGGCCGCTAAGGCGCCAGCCACATACACCTAAGGTGGCGGGTTCAAATCCCCAGCCCGGGCCTGCCAAACAACAATGATGGCTGCAACCAAAAAACGGCCAGGCGTTGTGGCGAGCACCTGTGGTCCTAGCTACTTGGGAGGCTGAGGCAGGAGACTCACTTGAGCCCAGGAGTTGGAGGTTGCTGTGAGCATGATGCCATGGCACTCTACCCAGGGGAATAGCTTGAGGCTCCGTGTCAAAAAAAAAGTGAGGACCTATGTAGTTACAACAGGACTGATAATGAAAAGAACTTCTGTCTCTTAAATAGCTCTTACTCTCTCGCCTACAGCGATCAGCCTGTCTACTGTAAAGAATATTTGGCTAGATCTTTCTCAATCCCATTAAACTTTTAAAGTAGTATGCAATATTCCAAAGAGTATAAGTGGGTGAAACCTAAGAATGATATTTTGGCCTTAGATTTAACATGTCCTAATTCACCAAGCACCTTATCAATAGAATGCTCCCTTGGGTTGGAATTTGTTGGCATGTTCAACCTGTAGAATTTAATACAGAATCGAGTAAAAACACTTCCCTGAGGCCACGAAGGGACAAGTGAGAAATCCAGGAGTAGCCCCTGGCCTATTTACTAGATCAAATCTTTTCCAAGTTGACTGTTAAGATGCACTTGGCTCTTGGGCATGAACTCCGAGTGGCTGAAATTATTCCCTATTACTGAGGTTGTGGAGAAAGTTGATGAACTGCAGGGCATCAGCTAGTTTTAAGAATCATGTCTCACCAAAGAAATGGTTTCAAAAAAGGAGCAAAGGGAAAAATATGTTCTCTTTCTTTTTATTTGTCCCAATGGTTTAAAAACCTCAACATTATGGAACCATAATCTTCCTCGTGACAGATGGGCCTGTACATTAGGATCGTGCTTTTGATCAACAGTTTACATTTCAAGAGGAAGGTGAAGAAACTGAACGTAATAACATCTTCAGCATCTATTTTTCCATTTTTAGTTTTATAACATTGATACAAAAAATAGTCTTCTGATTAGCAGCTTGACTGGCAACCCATGTAACCCTAAATAGTACTACAAACCTGGAGAGTGCACTTTTACAGACAATTACATTTGGCGAAACAGTATGTACAATTTTGACAAATAAATACATAAATACAATCATTCATATATAATGTTATACCTAAAGGTCAATTATCAACAAGCATTTCTAGTAAATGACTTCTTTCATTCACAAGTTACTTTGTTGCTTATAAAAACTATCTTCAGCTTTACAGAAGAAATGACATAATCAACTCCCCCACTAAACCCACATTTTAGGAAAGATAAAAAATGAATCCCAGATCCTTTAGGGAAATATTCCATTGTCCTTTGATAGAAGAGATTTGATTGAAAAACTCCTTCCTTGGCTTCTCTGTAAAGAGTTTATTTTCCCCATAGCACATCACACGAAGGGGTTTTGTTCTTCTGAATTTAATCCAAATCAAAATGATCTTCATTTTTTCATTCTGGTTATTTAACAGTACAGTATTACACGTTGAAACTGACATTTGCTCCAATGTAAGAAGACATTGCCACACAAACAAGCCACCAAAGATAAAACTGTTTTTTCCAGAAAATAAAATTTAAAAGAAGCTTTAAGAACATAGACACTGATTACTTACTGTTATCCAGTTCGTAATGGACAAATAGGTGGCAAGATAGAGTTTTTGTGAAAATCGTCTGAATGACTCTTGGTAGAACACTGTCTGAAACTTTATGTCAGGGAAATGAGAAGAGTGGCTTACAAATAATTGACACAATAATTTGGCCAGTGTCATGTCATAAAATTAACAAAAGTAGAAAGAGCTTTCTCTCGACCACTTAAACATTTTTCGAACATTCAAGTGAAACAAAGGGTCAACATGCTTAAGGCTATTGAAACACTGGACAAATGGCCTTGCTTCACCAAGCTCCATGCAGAAGAAAATGTTCCATAGCAAGCAGGTTCTAGCTATAAGTACAGTTGGGGAGAAGAAAAAAATGTCTTTAAAATATGTACATGTTGTCTCTGACGAGTATTTACATGTTTGTCACATGGGCACTCCCTACCAGAAAAAGTTAGGAAATAGTTCTTTAAGACATATGATCCTCTGATTTTTGTTCCTTTTAAAGACTAGGGCTCTACTCATAATGTATATGCACGTATAAAACATGTCACAGATGCGCATGTGTAATGTTTATCGTGTGCAATTCCTTAACACCAAAGGCGGCTTGACTGAGCACGGGGTAGACGCAAGGCGGGAGTATGAGACAGAGGCTTGGTTCAGCTGCACAGCTGGGAGGTGAACCAAGAGGGAACTCATGAGACTTTCCAGTGACTGCAACTCACAGCTGCTGAGGCTGCAGGGTTGGAGGGCGGTGCACCTCAGCTGACCCATCTTTCCCCAGGCTACCTAACGCTGTTTTGTAATCAAAATCAGTAGTCCTGCTGGCTCTAAGATGAGATGTATTCAGGGATGGGAAACTTGTCTCATATTGGATTCCTTGGGGCTGGGGATAAAAGATCCAGTGTTTTCAAGAAATAGGCTATGACCTGCATTTGTTCATTTTGTCTATCTGTCTGCTATCAACTTCTATGGGGGCTTCAGGGTGTTGGGTTGAAATGAATGGATAAATAAATAATTTTAAAAGTATACTCTTTCAGCTGTGGGGTTTTCTTTGAGAACAACAGGAGTTTTCTAACAAATGGTAGAAGGTGGACAATGTGTGGGTGGGCGAGTGCCTGTTCTTTTTCTGATAGAGGTGGACTAGCTCTACCTGGCCTCAAAGCTCTTAGAGAATTGAGATCAAACGTTTCCTGAGATCTAAGTTTCTGTGACGCATTTCGCAAAGCATATAGTTCACTTACTGTGATCTACCCCTAGCCAGAGGTTCCCTCTCAGAGAAAGGCAGCCGCCTGTACTTTCAGCACCTTGGGGTATCAAGGCAGCACACTGAACGGGTAACTTATTCCTTGAAACCAGAGGAGGTGGCAGAGAAATTGAAGCTTTCCCAAACACCTTTACTACAGCGAAGGAAAAGCCAAAGCCTTAGAAGAATTGGGTGCACTGATAGTTTGTAGTTGATCTTTATTTTGGCAGATTTGGTATTAAGATGATGTTACTACTACTGATGACCATTGTGATTATGTGATTACTGTAGCATTTAGCAGAATGCCTGATGCACTGCATTACATAGCACCTTTTAAGCTAAGGATCTCAAAATACTGAGCATATGCAATTTGCTCTCACAGCACCTGTGAGGTAGATTTTTTTTTTTTTAATAGCCATTTTATATTCGAGCATATTGAAGCACAGCAAGGTTAAGATGCCTGTTCAAATGGCCCCAAAGTACAGTGGCATCAACAGGACTTGGACCTAGGCTTCCCCCCCTTCCTTCCCATGAACTTTGATCACAGAGACCCCAAAGTCCCTCATAACATCTACTGCTGAAGGTACTTGGATGTTTTCAGATGCTAGAGAGTATTACATCTGTCAACAGTAGGGCCAAATCTTTGAATAATATTGGCAACCCTTACAGATTTTCTCCTGTGCCTTGAAAATATGTGGGAGGGCATCCTATACTATTGCTAAGCTTATGTTAATCATAATTCATACCTAAATTTGTGTCTCCTCAATGCTATTTTCTGTTCTCTGGCCTCCTATCAACTTATTTTCTATACTTGGAGACAGGTGCCTGCCAGATCCAGGAACTGTGAAATGTGCATAGTGACACTGTAGAAAAGGAAGCAGGTGAGATTACATTTGGCACAGTCTCCTGGGAGGCACCATGTAATGTTTGTTCTGAAAGAGCAAAAAGGGGGGGGGGGTAGAAAAGAAAGAATTCTCTTGTTTACTTTAAGTAGCATTTTATATACATTCCACCTGCTGACCAGGTTTAATCCTTGGGTGAGCAAGCAGAGTTAACTTCTAAACCTACAGAATATTTGATTCTCAAGTTTAAATCCCCATCTATTTAACTGCAGCCTCCCTGCCAGCACTAAGTTCATTTCTTGGTGGAACTGCAAATACTGTACACGTTACATGGCAATATATGTAAAAATTCGATGCAACAACATATACAATACTGATAATCACATCTACTGTGTCCTCCTGACTGTGCATCATTTCTGAATTGTTTTAGAAAAAGAGTTGTTTACTTATTTATTTAGTTTTGTCCAGATAAGACATTACTGTGAGTTTCAGCTTCCCATAACCAAATTTTTATCTCAGATGCACAGTACATAAATCTTAGGAGTTGTTTGGCAGTCGCTTTTTGAGATAAATGGCAATGCCTTGGGACCTGAGAATGAGATCTGGCCCTTCTAACTCATTTATTGTTTCTCTGACCAGAGCCCACCATTTGTAAATTGGTAATCCACGAAAGGAACTAGGAGCGGGAAGCAAAAACTTTACAAAACCCCTTTACCAGTTCATTTCCCCTGTTGACATCTATAAAATACCAACATCTTAGGCCCCCATTTCTTAATTAAAAAAAAAAAAAAGAAAAGAGAAAAGAAAACATATTTACATCGGTAAAAATCCTAACATCTGAGATGTTTCTTGCTCGACATGTCATTCCAGATCCTGTGCATTTCTTCTGGAGAGATCTGATGCACGGTGATAACGCGCCGATACCGACACAAACTGTAGGCCATTTTCCAGTGATTGAATCCACTGTTCTGGAAAGGATGGATGCCCAGCTTTCGAAGACACAGTCCCACATATACATCTTCAAGGTGAAGCAGCCTTGTGTGGAGTGAGGTTTTGTAAATGAGTTCAGCCACATCTGCTGAAAAGATGTAGCCAGTCCCCGAACAGAACGGCGGGTAGTTACTGTCAGGGTACAAATCCCGGGGCATATACCACTTACTGCGGACGTCCCGAATTGGCCCTCCATTGATGACATAGCCAGTAAAGTATCTTCTTCGTGGCTTGGTAGAGGGTTTCAGTAATTTATAAATAAGGTTGTCCATGTTTACAAAAATGTCACTGTCTGTTTTCATGACATACTTGGCTTTTGAACAAAAAGTGGCCACCCATCTCATCCCCATGAGCGTTTTGAGGGTAAGGTTGTGGTAGGAGTCGATAAAATCCTCCACGATGATGTCGTGGAAGATCTGGCTCTCTTGCTCCACCATCTGGTTCAGGACAGGGTCAGCGTTCTTGCCCAGGAGGAAGAGAGTCGCTATCTTGATCCCCTTAAAGTTGTTCTCATCCCCCCAGGTCTCTCGAATCGCCTGGCGGGCATCAAACTCCTTATGGGTGGTGCTGATGAGGATAACGAGGAAAGGAATGTTTTTCTCACATTTGTCGGGCTCGTTTATAAGAAATTCAAATGAATGTGGGTTTATAGGTCGAGTTCTTATGTTGCCAAAGGTAAAGTTTTTCCTGGCAACTGTTAGGTGGCTGAACGGCTTGGAGCCCGTGTAGGAAGAAGTGGGACGAGTTACGCTCAAGTACCAGAGAGCACTGGCCCAGCACACAACTGTCAGAACGTATAAACAGGAGACCTTTGAAGCCATTGTCCTAAGAGCACGTCTATTCCAAATAGCGGAGAATACGCCTTCTTGGCACTAGTTTCTTTTCATCTTCGGAAGGCAGCATATTACTGATAACCCTTCAAATCTGATAGAGAAGCATGAGTGGGCGACTGTCCGTGGGCCTCAGTGGCACTCGGGCATCTTGGCACGGGCTCTACTGTCTTCCAAACAGGATGGAGTAGTCTATGCCTCGGAAATTTCCCTTGTAACTCTGCAAAATCAATAAAGTACCGTTGTCATTTAGAGTCACTTAATCATTTTACATCCTCAAACAAACATAACAAGGGTATGAGAATTACCCATGGTGATTAAGATAAGCGTGATCATTTATTTCCCTCAGTATTGAAAACTTCCTGACTCTTCCTCACTCCACAATACAAGTTTGTATATATTCATACCCCATTAACAAATATATAGATTAGAAATTCTAGGTGAATACGAAGTAAACTGAACATTAGTAATTTATTTTTTTACAAAGTTTCCCCCTCATCGGAAGAGGCCTTCTTTGCAGTTAAATACTTTCTGGCAATCAAGTCTCCTTTCAAGCAGGAAAGTCTCACACATGGCCTCATATTTCTCTTGCATTTTTCCATGTCTGAGTTTTTTGTTTGCTTGATTCTGATGAAGAATCAGTTGGTCCCCTCCTTGCTTTCTCTAACTCTATGTTTGAATATATGTTGATCACCCCTGGGAAATCTCTGCTAACACACTGTTTTTCTGGGCTCAGCCTTAAAAGTAATTCTCAGCTGTTCCTCACTTCCTCTTTACTTTGGCTCTCACAACCCTTACCTCCTAATTCTCAATTTTCCATGACACGCAGTGACTATCCTGACCCTTCATGCCTGGGAACTATCACCCAGGTGTCCTTGCAGAGAGTAGGCAGCATTTATTCTGGAGTCGATCTAAATGGTACTGCTTTGTATAGTTTTCAACAGTTCACTCACATGTTCCTTGGATGAAATTATGCTAGCCTCTTTATATTTATTTTTTAAACTTAGTTACATTTGCCTGTGAATATAACATGGACATAGTAAGAGAGAAAACTGGGCTCGGTGGCCACAAATCCAAAGATGTGACAAAAAACTTTAATTAGTGTTCAAATTTCAAAATTGTTCTTTGGAACTCTAATCCTTTCTAGAGAGTTTTTTCATTTTCTCTCTCTCTCTCTCTTTTTTGTTACTTCATGCCAGTTAAAACCATATGCCAGGTTACAAAATCCATTCATGTAAAAAATTGTCTCTTCCTTTCTCATTAGAGCAGAGTGTGGAAGTCCTGGAAAGCAGAGATAGAGGAGAATAGATATTAATTTGAACAAAGTCTGCTTCAAAGAAAACTATGTGGTTAAAGGTACAGACTGTTTTGAAATAATTTAACTGGGAATACGGATTGAAAATCATGCTTCTAAGCACAAGAGTCATAATGAAATAAAAAGACATGATGGGCAACAGCAGAGACAACACACAATCCTCTTGTCTAAGCCAGGAGTGGACTGTAAATACACCATCCCTACGAGACCAGCAATGACTCAGTGTGGTTATAATTCTCATGAAACGAATATTTGCACGGCTTCTGGCAGCATGACTAGACATAGTCAGATACTCTTCCAACCCATAGTAAGTTCTTTCTCTAAATACAGGTTCTGGTACCCTTGGCTTCCTTGGGGCAAATTTCTGCTCTCAGGTGCACCAAAGCTGATAAAAACAAGGATGTGATGTGCAGCAAGCCTTGAAACTTTAAACAGTTAAGCAAAAGGAAGTGAGAGAAACCAGTACAAAAGAAAAGGGCTTCTTGATTTGGGCTACAGAGACACGGACTCCATTTCAATTCCAAAAAGCTGTAAGCGAGTCCCAGGGTGGGACTGCTATTGTCCGCGCCTGTGTACCTGACTTTTATACGCCTACCTTTATCATCATATTGCCTTTGTCCCCTCATGTATTTCCCTACCTAACTGTCAGCTAACCATTGCTAAGATGTCAGGGGCTTCCTAAAAAGACTCACCTGGAAGAGGCTTCTGCCAGGTAATATTTGGAAGCCAGGAGTCAGGCTATTCATGGAGGATTTCTCTATGATATGTACATTTTGATCTTCTTTTTATTATTCTTTTCCTGTCCCTACAGCAGCGGTTCTCAACCTGTGGGTCTCGACCCCTTTTTAATAATGAAAATACACGCGGCATTAGGAAGGTTGAGAACCACTGCCCTACAGTGTTAATTTCCCAAATTATTATCCTCTACCTCTATAGTTATGCCTTCATTCAACTCTTGGATTTAGTCAATCATTTGTTGATCCACTTATCCATCAATCAGCCAGCTAATCAAATATTTACTGAGTGTCTGTTGTATGTGAAGTACTGGAAAAACAGAAATAGAACCTATATTCCTGCCTTAAGAAACTCCTAGTCTAGGAGGAAAGATTTCAAGTAAATGATTGAAACAGAGTGGTAATAGACAGGCCATAGCTCATGCCTGTAATCCTAGCATTCTTGGGAGGCCAACGTGGGAGGATTACTTTAGCTCAGGAGTTTGAGAGCAGCCTGAGCTAAAGAGAGAGACCCTGTATTTACTAAAAATAGAAAAAAATTAGCTGGGTGGTGTGGCGGGAACCTGTAGACCCAGCTACTTGGGAGGCTAAGGCAGGAGAATTGCTTGAGCTCAGAAATTTGAGGCTGCAGTGAGCTAGGCTGACTCCATGATATTGGAGTCTGGGCAATAGAGTGAGATCTGTCTCTCAAAACAAACAATAATAATAACAAAACAACAACCACAGCAAAAAACAGTGGAATAAAAATTTTCCTTGTAAGGCTATTTGGAGTATGCAGGGAGGCTGGGCTGTGGACAGAGTATGAGAGGACCAGACACAGTCCAGGAGACTGTACAGGACAACTTCAGAGGGCACTGCGTGCAGAGGCTGCAATGTGGACCCCACTGCTTCACCCCGTCCCAGAGTCCCACAGGGAAGGAGACCTGGGGAAGAGGCAATGGCAGGTTCAGAAAAGGTGAGCTAAGCTGAGTCTTCAAGGTAAACTAGAAAATATCTGGATGGGAGCTGGGCATTCTAAACAAAGGAAATGGCATATACAAAGGCATAAAGTGAGAAAGAGCACGATGGACTAAGACTATAAGCCCAACTTGCATAGAAGAAGAGGGCAGGGTGGTGAGGAAGAGCGTGAGAGCCTTGAGAAGTGAGGCTGTGGAGATAAGCAGGAGTCAGATGCAGCGTGGGGCTGAGAAGCCATCCTGAGCTGAGTGGCTGGTTACCCATCTGGGCAATCTAAAGGGTGCAAGGGAGGATTTTCCCATCCCCAAATCCTGTCCATGGATTTCAATAGCAAACCATTCTTCCCCATTAAATATTTCTTTCTCTCATAGTTCTATGCTCTAGAACAGTGGTTCTCAACCTTCCTAATGCCGTGACCCCTTAATACAGTTCCTGTGGGTCGCGACCCATAGGTTGAGAACCGCTGCTCTATAAGTGTGAGAATTTTTTATCTGTACTTTTCTGTATATTTTTTCGGAGGGGGGGGCGTAGAGAAAGGGCATCATAAACATAGATCCCTGGGCATTTTAGAAAGAGCTAAAACTAAATAAATAAAGGGAGAAATATAAGAGAAATAGGTGAGAAAGTGAAAAAAGTTTATGTATTTATGAACACCTTTCACAGAAGCAGCAGCATTCTTTTCTGGACAGGTGATGAACACAACACTTCTCACTATTATTATCGTAGCTCCCATTTCACATTGCACGTGGTAGACCAGGCACTCTGCTGTGAGCTGTATTCCAAGCTGTTCCGTTGTATAGAGCTTCATTTCTCGCAGTGTTACAAAAGAGCGATAATTTTACTCATTTGACAGATGAGAGAAAGGAAACTCAGAGACGTGAAGTAGCTTGCTCAAGATCACACAGTTAGTAAGTAACTAGGCACCCCCAGCCTTCCTCTTGGAGCAGTAGGGCACAATCTTGGATGAAAAAGTGCAGGGTGGGAGACTGCATCTCAGGTTGCCATCCTCCCAGTGCTCCATGCACTTATCAGATGTGTTCCCATTGCTTGGATTTTTCTTTTTCTAGTTCATTCTGGTTTGCTACACACTATACCAATTCTTGATCATCCAAAAGTGATGATTTGCAAACAGGCACATTAAAGCTTGGAGATGCTGAGGGCAGGTTGAGGAAGCTGGAATCACTAAAGAGGTTCGGAAACACTTTGTAGGCTTTTTCTCTGAAGTTCTGAAACACACACATACATTAAAAGAACCACTATTTCTATTGACTCTTTTTTTTCTTTAGACATGAGAACAAAGGTAGGCATAGCGTTACATCTTAGTCAATACTAAATGCAAGGTAGAATTTAGTAAATGCTTTTTTAAAAACACAGAGAATTTGAAATATAAAAAGAAGCATAAAATATGAATAATGGATATGGATAATGTGGATTTATAGCAAGGAGTGCTAAAAAAAAAAAGTGGCCTTTTTGCTGAAAACAAAATGGATTCCCCTGGTGGCCAAACAAGTATAAAAATGTATTTCTGGGCCAGAAATAGAAATAGTAATGTAACTAAAGACAAGAAAGAGAAGCATGATGCCCTGAGCTCTAAAGGTTAATTCTACATATGTTGGAGGAAGTGGTGGGTAATGGGTCAGCATATCCACAGTTTACTCCTGGAGTAGTCCTAATTTGCAGTGTGGATTTTCTGTGTCTCAGGAGCCTTCAACATAAAGAAAGGGCAAAAATAGCATCTGTTTTCTCTCCAAATACATTGTAGGTATTAACAAACATTGACAAATCGTTTGAATTCTGGCAGAAAGTGTTCTATCTAGGCAGATGGTGTTATGATACAAAGGGCAGGATCCAGTGTGGCTGAGAGGATTATGTCAGTTCATCAAGTTCATGGTTTAGATCCTGAGCACATGTACCAATTCATTCTTAATAAATAGTATTGCTGGTAGTGTTTTGGCTTTTTTCATTCAGATTAGTGATTACACAGTATAGATTTTCCTGATAGAGAAATCTGTTTTCTTCCTAGAACAGTCAAAGCCAAAGGCCCACTGAAAAGCAAAAAAAAAAAAAAAAAAAAAAAGAAAGAAAAGAAAAAAAGTCAGCTGAAAAGTTAGTTGACACGTCCAGGGAAAGGAACTGAGTGCCGGAAAGCAGTATCCTCTGGAGTGTTCTTTCAGTTTTAAAAGATTTTAAAAAAACCAAAAAAAACCCTGTTTAACAGACAAGTTAATGTATCAGAAAAATAGTGTTGCACACAGAATATTTGTCATTTCTTTTAGCAGCTTTACTACAAGCACAGATACTGATGACACATTAACTTGTCATTCATTAAATAAATCCCTCCAAATGGAAACATTCAACTGGAACGCATGAAAGGTTTTTCCCCCAGGGGCCTTACTGTATTTCAGATTGCCTCATTCACAGAAGTCTATCCCCCTTCACCTTTCAGGAAGTTAATGGGGCAGAATTTTCAATTTAAGAAACTAGTTTTGCCTAGGAAGTGCATGGTGGATTATCTGTTATTTTAAATAATTGATTTTTAAAAATCCCAAACTTGCTGAAATTCTTATTTTATACAGCCATAGGTAAGGCCTAGAAGCAGGTAGGTGGTGTCTCTTTGATGACTTGTGCATAATTTAAGATGTCAGCTCCATGTCTTTCTCCAACATGGTTCAGGCAATGTATAATGGTTAATTTTATGCATCAACTTGACTGGGCTAAGGGATGCCCAGATAGTTGGTAAAACATTTCTAGGTGTGTCTATGAGGGTGTTTGTGGAAGGGATTAGGATTTGTACCTGTTCACTGAATAAAGAGGACTGTCCTCCTCAGGGCCAGTGGGCATCATTCAGCCCCTTGAGTGCCTGAGTAAAGGAAGAGCAAATTTTCTGTCTCTGCTGGAGATGTGACATCATCATGTCTTGCAGATATCACGTCCTTCAGATATCAGTTTTGTCCCTTTGGGCTCAGACTGGGTCTTATATTGGATCCCTTGGTTCTCAATCCTTTGGCTTTGGATGAAACTACACTGTTGGCTTTCACAGGTCCCTGGCCTGCATATAGCATATCATGAGACTTCTCAGCTTCCATAATCTCATGAGACAGTCTCTTATAATAAATCTCCTATTGGTTCTGTTTTTCTGGAGAGCCTTGACTGATACAGGCAAGTAAAGGTCAAAACTGATGTCCTGTGTCATGGTTGCCCTTTCTGCTGACTTGGCTTGGCAATCAGTGATTTGAGCTTCTCTTCACTCATGAGTGAGAGTGCAGAAGTCTTACCAAATGGGCTGCTTCCATTCTCTGGTGACAAAAGGTTCTAATTTCCCTTGTATTTTCAAGTATACTTCAATTATTCACCAAAAATGAACCAGGTGCCAGGGACTGAGCCAGTAAGACAAATGGAAACTTACTTTTTAGGAGAAAGAGTCAGAAAGCAAACATGTGCTAAACAAATGCAAAAAATCATCTCAGGTAGTGATTAGTGCTATGAAGTAAATATGGTAGGGTAATAGGATAGAGCCTGAACAAAGATGGGGTGGGGCAGAATAGATAAATTGGTCACTCTGAGGACATGTCGTCTGAGCTGAGAGCAGAATATTTTGCAATCTCTGTTTCAGTCTTTAAGTCATTTACTGAGATTTTTTTCTCCTTTGCTTGGTTCTTTTCAATTAATGGTTTATTAGAAGGATAACATAGCAACAATCCCATCTCTATTAAAAAAAAAAAAGTTAGCCAGGCATGGTGGCATACACCTGTAGTCCAAGCTACTCAGGAGGCTGAGGCAGAAGGATCACTGGACTCCAGGAGTTTGAAGTTGCAGTGAGCTGTGGTTATGCCATTGTACTCCAGCCTGGATGACAGAGTATGAATCTGAAGCAATCTGAAGCTTACTCTTACACCTAACCTAACTTACTGAAAACCATAGCTTAGTCTTACCTTAATGGTGCTTAGAATTGATTTTGATTGGCAAATCATCTAATTCAACTGTTTTTTGATAAAAAATGGTGTTTATAAAGTGTTGAGTATCTCATTTAATTTATTGAATATCATACATTACATCAAATTTGTCACAGGTTGGCACCAACTGTAATATCAAAAACTTATAAGATGAACCCTCATAATTTGGGATCATCTATACTTTGCTTCACAAGATTTCATTCTTTCCCATTCTCATTTTCTGATTTGAGCTAATATATGAGAAGATAAATTCTTGGTTTTGGTAAAGCAATTTTCAAAGGGTGAAAAATTTGTAATTAGCATTTAAAGAAGAAAAAAGGGGTGCAGAATTTGTCTTATTTTTAGATGAAAAGACAAAAACATAGTTCAGATTCTTTTCCCGAGACCATGGGAAGAACACTTTACAGTTTTAAGCAGTCCTTTGCTCCTGCCACCCTCTCCTTCCTCTGACCCCTTTAAAAACTCAAATTAAGACAGATAAGGCAGGGCAGTGGAACATTTCACTAACCAACAGTTCCTGAAATGCTGGCTTTGTTTTTGGAGAATAAGGACAATTTTCCTGTCTCACCTCAAACTACTAGCATTTCTATTTTTCAGAGTCAATTTTGAATATTCGCAGATCACATGGCACTACCAAGGTGGTTGAAACATAGAGATTTGCCTAGTAACTTCAAAAACATAATGAAAAAAGATGAAGCAGTTGAAAAAAGTAAACCCAGTATTAACCAGTTAAAAGAGAAGTAAGACAGGACAGAGAGAGAAAGGGAGAGCGAGAAAGAGAAAGGGTTAACTCCTAGTGTTTACGAAATGCTCTTAAGATGGGCAAGGAGCCAGCTGTATAGTACAACATAATATTGAGTAGGGGAAAGAGATATTTTCTGAAAAATGTTTAGATCTCAAGTGACTTTCCTTGGAGCTGGTGTATGAGTGAAATCAAAGCATCTTCATTCTGTGGGGAACTTCAGGGACTCAGATTGCCACAGAACTAATTGATATACAAGCCTCAGAGGCCAGCGAGCCTAGTCGGCTGCATTCATTTGGTGTATGGTTATCTTGATGCCCGTTCACTCCCCTTCTCTCACTCTTGTAATTATGCTGTAAATAAGCACAGGAGAGGAAGAAATAAAACACGATTAACACTACATAATGGCCCTTGAAGGAAGACTTTCACACACGTTAGGCTCTCCAGCTTGCTGACTGGTACTGCTCCGAATCACGGAAGGCTGGCGGGCTCTCTCAGGCTTTCTTTTAAGGAAGCTTCCTTGGCTATTTAAAGAACCAGACCCATAGAGGTTGAAATCCCTGAATGCTCATAGATTTAAGTGTTCTGACTCCTCTGCCTCAGATAGACAAAGAGCTAATTTGCTCCTTTTAAAAATTTAATTATGAATCTTATCAAAGAGACCTCGTAATGGAACTCACCCAACAGATCATTTGCAACGAGGAAGCTGCGGAAAGCTGAAGGTAATACTCATCAGGATACGACGGTGCAGATCATTTCCCTCCCCGCATCTGGAAAAATGATTTGAACCTTTCTCCTTTTTAGTTCAATGTACCTTGACAGTTATCGAAAAAGTCTTTATAAATCCCTGCCTTCGAAAGATCGAGGCCAACTTGAAAGCGGAGTGGTGGGGATGCGGATGGCTTTGTGTGGGCTGAGGGCTCTTGCTATTCTGAAAGCCACACTTTATCTCACCGAGGAGAAAGTGCACTTCAAATTAGAAGGGAAGATTACAGCTTTCTTCGAATCAATGTGTTGCCCTAGTTCTAGAATTCAGAGAATTTTCTTTTCTTTTTCTTTCTTTTTTTTTTTAACATTGCTACAATCCACTCAGGGAAAAATGAAAATGAGGATATCTCATTATTTTAAATAAATGCCTGGCTTCCTTTGCAGTGACGGATATTGTGTCTTGACTGCTTTATATAAGACACGTTTTTACAGATAGGCAGAGCAATCGCTTATTTAATCATTGGAGCCCAGAATGATTGAGCTTCCGGTGGGGCTTCTCCACTGCGAAAGAAAACGCCAGTATTTTTTATTAGAGATGTGGGGGAGGATGAGAGGAATGGCACCCCACTAATACAAACAGCAGCTGGGAGAAATTTAAAAATGATGAGCTATGTGATAACAAAAAAGAGTATTCATTTGGCCCATTACTGGGGGGAGAGGGAAGCCAATATGAATGCATATTTTTAGAAACCAGAAAGCTGTTAGTGTATTTACTATCCAAAATTCACAAAGTTTAGGGAAATAGTTCTCAGCTCACTGCAGA